TGTCTCTGATTGGGGACCATACTTAGGCAGCCTGTTGGCACATGTTTATTGTGGGATCTTGTTCCGTAAGGTTTGTGTTGGTGTATTAACCTAGGACTTCACGTATCGTTTTGTTGTTTTGTTATTGTATAAAGTACTCATTAAAAGATGTACGCTTACCACGCTGCGCCTTGGTCCGGTTCCTATAACGATCGTGACAGTCGTGAAGGGCAAAGGTTACTGTGTAGGCAATATGTGCAAAAAGGGTCAGAAAGTTTTGTTTTCTATCTTTGGGACTGGGTCATTCAGCTGTGGAGAAGCTAGCCATTAAATGTACATAGTTTAGTTCATTGGACTAAACTTTTTACTGTACCTTGTAATGTGTTTTGTTATGTCTTTGTGTTTGGCATGTTTTCCACACCTCTACACCAATTGCAAGGAACATTTACTTATGGATACTAATTTAAAGTAATTAAGCAATAATAATGGAAAGTAATCTATACTATTATTCTACTTTATTCTAGAAAGCTGCAGAGAGGGATTTTACAATGCTTTCAGGCATCAGTTTATGTAACCCAATGGAGGCCACAAAATGTCTGTCAACGAGTGAAAATGAAGTTGTGGGTTCAGAGGCCTACTTTACCCTTCACTGCAAGATAGCTATGGCACCAGACTTACTGCCTGCAGCTCCTTACCCTTCAACTAAGGATAACTATGACAGAGCTGATGAAGCTTAGGCATCTGGGTTGGCCTAGCTGTCACTCCAGGCACCCAAGGGATCAGTGGTAAAACCCTGAATGCGCTCAGACCCCTTCCTTTTAAACATTCCTTTTCAAACCCTTTAAGGCAAATGACTGCAGATAGTGTGTTCAGAGCATATAGGCTAGTTCTTTAAATCAGCCAGTCAGCGAATGTTCTAGGTAGTTTCTGACAGGGCCAGGTGCCTTGCACTGTTCGTATATACTGTTTTAATTTTGAGATACGTAAAAGTAAGAACCAAGACTCAAGATTGGTTAGTCATTTCAACAGATAGATTTTTCCATTCTCTGAGGGCTGGGAATTGACACACAGGTGTGGCATGTCAATGTTTAACCCCCAAGATTTAAAGGTTATAAAGGCAGATTTGTGTTACTAGGAAACAGAGTGACTGATAGTGACTGCAGAAGTGATTTCTGGGAACAACTACTGTTACATTTAGTTGTATCTTACTTTTTGCATTATGATTTTCAAGTGCTATATACCACACATTGCAGTGTGCACCGTTGTTGACTTTTTCCAATCTTACAGCAAGTCAAAAACACCTTAACAATCAATTCAGCAAAAAAATGCCTCTTCCAGTCATAAAGGTTGCAGACGCCTGTATTAAGCAAACCAGACGGTACGATGAACTTGTCTTTTAAATCTACGGACAGCCAGGGGGTCCAACAGTAAGACATCATTTACAAAGGCAGTATTTGTGTTCAGTGAGTGCGCCAGATCAGAGGCATTAGGGATGACAACACGTTATATTGATAGGTGAATGAATTGGACAATTGCTGTCCTGCCTGAGAATTAAAAATGTAACAAGTACTTTTGTGTGTCAGGGAAAGTGTATGGGAGTAAAAAGTACATATTTTCTTTAGGAATGTAGTGGAGTTGTCAAAAATATAAATAGTACAGTACATATACCCCAAAAAAACTACTTAAGTAGTACTTCAAAGTATTTTTACTTAGTTACTTTACACCACTGACAGCAACACATGAAAACCTCTAAAACATCCCATATTGCACTCTTTATTGCCAGTAATTGAATTGAAATTGAAAAAGATGCCTTTTGTTTGATCCTTTCATCTCCTCACATACAGCCATGACATGCAGTGGCTGTACTTATAGGTAAGGTATAGCCTACATCCATTTTAAAGCTCTCTTAATCCTTTAAATAAGCTATAGGGATGGGAAGAATTAAAGCAAGTATTATGGAATCTACATTATGAATGCGGTGAGACTGAGTGAAAGTCAACATACCTAACAGGTTAATGGTGAGCCTGCTGGATCTGGTTTTTGAGGTGTGTCACTATAAGGGGGACTACAGGGCATAAAACACAATAACCTTCACTCTCATTCACCTTTCTCTCAGTCCCAATTGTTTTCTCACTTGGCCTGAATCACTAAGTGCATTCAAACATGCGGAAACCCAGCCAGGTGCCAGGAGAGATGCATTGCTGTGACACATACAACACATAGACAATACAATACACAACCAAAACAATGAAGGACTAAGTAAATACCTGGTTGTGAATAATGTCACATACTGAATGCATTTATGATATGACGGAGTACAGAGCTTATAGGGCAATTGCAGTTAGTAGGGAAAATGTGAGTTTGATGTTTGCACTGTTCTACAGTCACTTACCATCAGACTTATTAAATGTTAGCCATGGTAAAGCCACAAGATTCAGCAATAGATAAACCTTAGGGAGAGAAGACAGAGAAAATATTGTTTCAGTAGGACAAAGTGACAATTATTTGGCTGAGAGGGATCATGCTGGACGAATCGTAAAAGAGACTTTATTTACACATAACATTTAGAGAGGGTTTGTTTAAACAACCTCTACTGTGGATGTTAACTTAAGAGGCCTGTATGGGGATGGGGACACAGGTTAGACAGGTTTCTGTACAAGCAGAAACCTGCAGCGGTCCACAAAGAAACTAATCACATGAAACCGTGAATGGGAAATGGGTACAATCAGTGTACATATAATTATACAAGTGTTATGGAAATTCTATACAATCCCTATGATCAAAGATACTGAAGAATAATTATATTGCGGTGACAAACATAATACTTTTTTTTTTTAAATCAATGATACCGATTAATCAATAATACCGAAAAACTAAGTGCATTCAAACATGCGGAAACCCAGCCAGGTGCCAGGAGAGATGCATTGCTGTGACACATACAACACATAGACAATACAATACACAACCAAAACAATGAAGGACTAAGTAAATACCTGGTTGTGAATAATGTAACAAACTGAATGCATTTATGATATGACGGAGTACAGAGCTTATAGGCCAATTGCAGTTAGTAGGGAAAATGTGAGTTTGATGTTTGCACTGTTCTACAGTCACTTACCATCAGACTCACTAAATGTTAGCCATGGTAAAGCCACAAGATTCAGCGATAGATAAACCTTAGGGAGAGAAGACAGAGAAAATATTGTTTCAGTAGGACAAAGTGACAATTATTTGGCTGAGAGGGATCATGCTGGACGAATCGTAAAAGAGACTTTACACATAACATTTAGAGAGGGTTTGTTTAAACAACCTCTACTGTGGATGATAACTTGGCCTGTATGGGGATGGGGACCAGTCATGCGTGGCCACAGGTTAGACAGGTTTCTGTACAAGCAGAAACCTGCAGCGGTCCACAAAGAAACTAATCACATGAAACCGTGAATGGGAAATGGGTACAATCAGTGTACAAATAATTATACAAGTGTTATGAAAATGCTATACAATACCTATGATCAAAGAGTGAAGAATAATTATCTTGCGGTGACAAACATCATTTTGTATTTTTTTTAATCAATAATACCGATTTAATGGTTTCCTAAAGTATTACTGTAGCTTTCTCAAAAGCAGGGCATAATGGAAACCATTCAAGAGGGCAAGATAGATATAGGATGGCATGTACTGGTAAATAAGATATTTACATGCCTGAATCAAAAGCAATCACATGCTACCGGGAGTCAGGCTTTTTCTCAAATCATGCATAGGTAGCCTAATTATTAATTACATTCATTGATTAATGATTTTTTTTTAAAGATGCATGTCATCCCCTTAAGCAGAGGTTCAGCAGCTAATGATGAGAGCAGGCCTTAACACAAAATACCAGGCAAGTATCATCTTGTCTTACATTTTTAGGTGTAAGGGCTTTGTCTAATGCCTCACATCTAGTTTTGGCTTTGATCCTCCCTCGCTAATGGTTTCAGGTGTCACTTGAGGCTGTTAGCACTGCAATATCATTAGCTTATAACCATAAATGCAATGGTAGTATTTTAAAGATGGTGAAAAGTACTTTTGAGGGAAGACCTTATTTGCACCAGGCCTAAGTCAAGGCTTGAGCTGTGGTATGTTTTCCTATTCAAACAGACACAGGTTACAAACAACAAATGGATTATCAAAACTAATAAATGGCATTAATAAGAACCAATAGTGTGGCTTCATTTCATGCCAATTCTTAATACCTTATAGATTGATTATTAAGTGAGCGTAACAACTCATGCTATCTTAGACTAGATAAGCTTTTGATTAATCCGTTTATCAGGGAAAAACACCACCTTAGCCTACTCATTCATTGAAATCCATGCACTTGTGCTATCATTGTTGATTCAAGATTATACAGGGCTTAAGTGTGATTCTGCAGGCAATGAGTGTTGTGTGTTGTTGACCAAATAACTGGTTTACTTTGTAATCCAGGTGTGCACAATGCAGAAAAAGTTGCTGCCAGAACATTTTGAGAATCCAGGGCACCACATTCCTTCATGAAAGGCTGAGTTTGAAATAGTTGTTAAGGGTTTGCATGGAGATGGCCTTGACTCAATGAGCTATCTTTAGCTAGTTCACACACACTTGTCGCCATTATTGTCCTACTGACACATCTAGGACCCAAGGTAAGACGTATGCAGTGTGTAATCAGGGGGGAAAGTTACTCTTTAACCAAGGAGCAATCTCCACTACACTATTTATTCTATGTTCTAAAATGTTTTTTTTTTTAAAGTACAATTATATTAAAGATTAACTTTCAATGGTTTAGTGTGTTTTAATCCTGACAGTACATTAAGCATATGCTCTCAGACTGATACTCGCTGGCGAGCAGAAATAAATAATGAGATTTTCATAAGAAATGACATCTCGGTACTCGCTGCCCTTTGCCACACCCACAAGCAATTGACAGATTGAGTGTTTGCATGTTTGCTTTTTATGACTTAAATAGAAGACTTAGGGGAGGTGTTTCCTCCCACGCCTTTCATGATCTTTTCCCTCCTACCTCTACCCCCCTCCCGTGAAGTTGTATAAAACAACCAGCCCTTCTCCTCCACTCTTCACTAACTCCTCTCCAGCCAGAGCAGTAAGACAGCAGACTCAATCAACATGTCCTTCTCCAGCAGCAGCAGCTTCATGTCCTCTGGTGGATCCATGAGGGGAGCATCTATGGGCTCCTCTCGCCTCTCCATGTCTGGAGGTGGCAGCATGGGAGGTGGCAGCCGCATCAGTGGCATGAGGGCTGGCAGTGTGTATGGGGGTGCAGGTGGCTCTGGGGTGCGCATCTCCAGTTCCAGTGCCTCCAGATCCTTCTCTGCTGGCGGTGGTGGTGGTTTTGGCATGGGTGGTGGTGGAGGTGGCTTCAACCTGTCTGATGGCCTGGACCTGCACGTGTCTGCCAACGAGAAGGCCACCATGCAGAACCTGAACGACCGTCTGGCCACCTACCTGGACAAGGTCCGCTCCCTGGAGAAGGCCAATGCTGATCTGGAGCACAAGATCCGCATGTTCCTGGAGGCCAAGACCTCCCCCACTGCTCGTGACTACAGTGCCTTCCATCTCTCCATCACCGAACTCCAAGGCAAGGTATGTCCGTCAACTCATTTACAACTACAGCACACCATTATGACTACTTTTACTTGTTTATAAAGGCTGGGTTTTATGGCCACTGATAGCGGTTACCTTACTATTGTGGAAGAGGAAGGGGAGTGCCAATTACTCCCAGGCACAAGATAAACACCACTACTTAGTAAGCCTTCACCAGTAACCCGATAATGTCTAGGACAATATCATAAATCTAGTTCATGCCATTACTGCATTGATGTTCTTAAATGTAGCTTTATTTTCTTTCATTCCATTGTGCACTGTGAATGCAGTGTACGTATCCCCAGGGTCATTGATCTCTGGTCCATTGTCAGACATACTAACACACCCAAAACTGCCTCAAAATCAGATCAAGTTTATAGCTCCATTCATCCATTCACTCCAGATAAAACTGTTTCACTCCAAAACGTAATTTTCTCTTTCAGATCCAGGATGCCACACGCATCAACGGTGGAATCTACCTCAGCATTGACAATGCCAAGCTGGCAGCAGATGACTTCAGGGTCAAGTGAGTGACATCATGAATGATCACAATAAAGATGCATCAATCCATACTGTCTTCAATAGATACAGTATATCTTTAGTGCAGTAAACAGATGTGGTATTCTCCAAACAAAGCTGTTTTGATTTTGCTTAGGTATGAGAACGAGCTGTCCATGAGGCAATCTGTCGAGGCCGACATCAGTGGTCTGAGGAGGGTGCTGGACGAGCTGACCTTAGCTAGATCTGACCTGGAGATGCAGATTGAGGGGCTGAGAGAGGAGTTGATATTCCTTAAGAAGAACCACGAGGAGGTAAGTCTGAGTGACTATAGATTTAGTCATACAAAAGGAAGTGCTCATCTTCATTTACATTTAGATTTTACATTTTAGTCATTTAGCAGACACTCTTATACAGTTAGTGAATGCATAAATGTTTTTTTGTTTTTTAAATATATTTGTATATACTGGCCCCCTGTGGGAAACAAACCCACATCCCTGCCGGCCAAACCCTCCCCTACCTTGGACGTCGCTGGACCAATTGTGCGCCGCCCATGACTATTAGTCATCAGTTGATTGGTGAAGAAAATCGGCAATGCCATGCATAATGAGTAATGCATGACTGAGGTTGACCCAGACTATCCATGATTCCTTTAGGAGCTGTTGTCCATGCGTGCCCAGATGAGCGGCCAGGTCCATGTGGAGGTTGATGCTGCACCACAGGAAGACCTCAGCAAGGTCATGGCTGAGATTCGTGAACACTATGAGGCTGTCGCTGCCAAGAACAACAGAGATCTGGAGGGCTGGTTCTTGTCCAAGGTAAGAAATTGCAAGGTGGTGACTACAAGTGTTTCCCATTATAAAAATGATTGCATATTGTAGGTCCACAGTATCTAAAATGTCCCATCAATTAAATAGTTCATATAAAAACATTATTTTGGATGGTGTTTTCCACAGACCGAGGCGCTGAACAAGGAGGTCGCAATTAGCACAGAAGTTATCCAAACGTCCAGATCTGAAATCTCAGAAGTCAAACGTACGCTGCAGAGTCTTGAAATCGAACTGCAATCACAAATGAGCATGGTAAGACTGTTCAGAAATTATTTTGTTTACATTTCTTGCTCAACTTCTTCCTGATGTTTTGTTTTGCTCTTAATTTCTCCCCAATAGAAATCATCCATGGAAAATACCCTTGCAGAGACACAGAACCGTTACTCAATGCAGCTGTCAGGTTATCAGATGCAGGTGACCAGCTTGGAGGAACAGTTGGTACATCTCAGGGCTGACCTGGAACGCCAAGGCCAGGAATACAAGATGCTGCTGGACATCAAGACCAGGCTGGAGATGGAGATCGCCGAGTACAGGAGGCTGCTGGACGGAGAGGCTAGCAGGTGAGCTTTGAGTCTCATGCCTCATGTGTTTCAAATGGCATAGACATACAGTCAAAAACTGTCCTCAGAATGATGGAACCTAACAACATTGTTTTTTTGCCCTTCAGCATGTCATCCTCATCCTCATCCTCATCCACAACCACAAAAACACGCAAGGTGGTGACTATTGTGGAGGAAGTGGTGGACGGCAAGGTGGTCAGCACCACCAGCTCCTCCGCCGCGGCAGTGGTTAAGTCCCTGTGAGAAACATCTTGAACCAGAAACTTCACACCTCAGAACACCATCTCTCTGATGCCTGCTGTCAACCTTTCTCAAAGAGATTAAGAATAAACGTGTTCCGAAGTGTTGAAACTTACTTTTCATGTCTTGGCATTTTCTAATTCATCACATCCACTTAATACACAGTTTCCCAAGCATGACCTCTTCATCTAAACTCTGTTTGCCTTTCCTTTTGATTTCAATGTTTAACACTGACATTTAATTAGGCTATATGACAAAAATACACTTTCACTTGCAAAATAATATAAACTTGAAAAATGTTTGACTAAATATTGGAGACTCAGCAAGATGATGGTGCATGCACGAAGCAAATACATAGTGGGTCATTTTCCACAACAACTAAGAGGGTTGAAGCGCAAGGCTAAACTTCTCAGCTGTTTTGGTCCCATAGCTACCACGTTGTAGTAGCGTGAAGTTCACCCGTGCACATGCGCAGATACTCTGTGTTACTGTATGAGAGCAAAGTCTTGCATCGCATTCATCTCAATATATACAGTTCATCTCAATATATACGGTTCATCTCAATATATACGGTTCATCTCAATATATACGGTGCTGTTTGTTGCAACATCATCTCGCTAATTCTACCTTTAATTGCACACACAAAACATGTATTTTAAGCGAAGCTCTTATCATAGGCTATTAAAGCCCTTTGTACCCTATAAAAGGCCTAACCCTATAAACGTACAATAATTATGTCTAGACTGCAGCAAACAATGTAATATGTCTGCTCACTCCATAATAATAATTTTGGTGACATACTATAAAGTCATGGGACACTAAAGAAACTGATTATATCTGGTCAATTGAAAGTCAAACAAATTAATGTAACCATAGTAATCAGTTGTTAAGTCTAATTGCAGTCTCTTTGAATATTACCTTTGTCTATTTAATGTTGTGGGCATTCAAAGACAAGTGTCAATTATTCATATAAGATCTCCATTTATCAGCTGTGTTCTTTCCTTGTTGGATTAAACAATTAAAACCACAAACACTGTTTTGGAACTTCAGCCAACCCAGTGCTCTGGGCATCCCTTGGCAGTCAGACAAAACAAACTAATTAAGCTTACCCAAGTGACAAAGCAAAGCACAAACTGTAACTTGTAAACAATGTCTCTCAAGGAAAAACAAACAAAATACTTTATGAACTATTACAGAGAACTATAAGACACACTGACCCAGTGGATAACTTGATTTACGAATCAACAGTCTGAAAAACAAGTGTGGAAATCCACTATCTGCAACAATCGACGAAATCCACTATCTGCAACAATCGACGAAATCCACTATCTGCAACAATTTACTTCTGGACTAACCAAAGCCAACATTGTAGTCGGGCTGTAAAATGTAGGTTATAATCAGAATAATCAGTTAAGTCCTGAAGGAAATAGCAGCTTAAAGGTGTGGCCTAATGCTGGATGCTGCTGAAACTATAGGTGCAGTGTATGGACAAAGAGTGAAAGCCACGGCTCATGTTCCCTAAACAAGGACCAGACCCTATATACATACGTCAGTTGGATCAGGTGTCAAACAGCTCGCTTGAGGAAAGATTTTTCAAGACAAAACCAGCAGAATACACCACCAGTGTTTTACGGTTCACAATATTCAGCAGTTGTTGTTCAGCAATATTCTGCATTTATTTTACCAATGGGGAAACTCTGCAATGGACTATGGTGGTCTCCTTGAAAATAATATTTGCAAGTTTGAGACAGTAAGCTTACTACCCAACAATAGCTGATGTACAAATACAAATAAAATCTAATAAACAGCAGTGATTTGGGAGATTGCGGTTAATAGTGTTCTGTCACACAATAGAACATTGTACAGAGCTGCTGCAGGGCAGGCAGAGACAGAGGCAACTACCGAAGGTGAACTACAAAATTAACTTAAAGTATAAACTCACATAAGGTTAGTCCTTAATTTGAGGGCGTAAAGAGTCTTTAATTTCAAATATAATAAAGATACAAACTATATATATAACATATGGATAAGTGGCTAGCAACAAGTTTTACCACCAAGGGTACCTCAGTCTGTACTAGCTAGAATTTTGGTTGTGCAAAAGGGTATACTGGTTGACGTCTCTGTTCAGCTATTACATTCCACTTCTTGCCACTCCTGTCATTTTCCAAAAGTCTTAGGCAAATGACAGGAGTGGCAAGGAGTGGAATATTGGCTAAAAGGACTGGTACCCAGACTAGGGTATACTTAGGATTCCATACACTTCTGATTATTCATAGGCCCCTACCTACCTGCTTTACTGACATGTTTGTTATTTCTTCCCTGAGTTACCTGTCTTGGACTGTATGGATGGAATTTTCCACACTCTCACCTGTGTAGAAACCTCAAACCCCCCTCTCCCTCCCTCATTGTCTGGCATAAAAGGAGCAGTGTCCAACCACTCTGCACTCACTCCTCTCCAGCCAGAGCAGTACAACAGCAGCCTCCGTCACCATGACCTCCTTCTCAAACCGCAGCTTTGTGGCCTCTGGTGGATCCATGAGAATGGGCTACCCTCGCTATTCCGGTGGTAGCATGGGAGGTGGACATATCAGCGCCATGAGGGCCGGCAGCGTGTACGGGGGTGCAGGTGGCGCCGGGGTGCGCATCTCCAATGCCTCCAACACCTACTCTGCTGGTGGTGGTTTTGGCATGGGTGGTGGGGCTGGTGGCTTCAACATGTCTGACGCTGTCGATGTGAATGAGAACAAGAAAGCCACCATGCAGAACCTGAACGACCGTCTGTCCACCTACCTGGACAAGGTCCGCTCCCTGGAGAAGGCCAACGCTGATCTGGAGCAGAAGATCTGCATGTTCCTGGAGGCCAGGACCAAGACAGAATCTCATGACTGCACTGCCTTCAAGGTCACCATCCATGAACTCCAAGACAGGGTAAGGCCACCAATTCCAGGCTTAGATACTATAAGATTAACCTCTGGAAGGAAGTACTATATAGCAAAGAAGAAAACATTGTATATTAGAAGACAGATTAGTGTACAGTCTATATGGAAATTATAGGTCAGTTTAAAGCAAAAACACACTGGGTTTTTTCAATGACAAACAGAAAAATAAAATTATGTTCCAGAACAACGTAATGGTTTATGTATTTTAAGGGTGTGGTTGTGGAGGGGTTCACTTAGTTTGTTTAGGAACGGGCAGTTGCTCAGGTTTGACTACTTGCCCCAATAATGCACAATGTTTGTGAATATGAGCTACATCAGCTCGAAGAGATTCTAGACAAAGATAAAGCAGAGTAGTTTCCTGTAAGGAGTTTTTTTTTCTTGTGTCTCGAGCCACACACAAACAGAGCTCCACAGAGGCAAAAAGTATTCACTAAGGATGAGGGTGCATTTGGAAAGGGAGACTTCAATATTTAGCTAAAGAATAAATGTGAGCTACATTTTCATATTTTAGTTCAGCTGTCAGTATGTGCATTATAGCTAGTTTTGCTAACAAGCTTAAAAAAAGAAAAATATATATTTTGTCTTTATCAGTTGCATGTAAGCAGATAGATCAATTGTTGTCCAGTGCAACCACAAAGCCTGCATAGAAATGCCTCTTTCACATTCGATATTTCTTGTTTTTTGACCTATAGTGAACTTCTTTATTAACTTGCCATCAGATGATCGCAGTTTTTTTTTATCGCCATTTTGCGCTCTGCTGTCTTCTATTGTGGAGCTTTCACTCTGGTGAAGTTATGGAGTTCTGTTCTCGTAATGTTGGATACACAACACCACATCCACTACACATGGCCAAACAATGCTTCTGGTCCACAGAATACTTTCTATGTGAAATCTGATCTCAATAATCCACCCAAAACATCAGAGACATACCTCTGTGCCCTCTTTCAGATCTTTGATGCCACTCGTTTGAATGGAGGAATCTACCTGGCCATTGACAACGCTAAGCTGGCCACAGATGACTTTAAAACAAAGTGAGTCTGAAAATAACTGATACAGAACAACAGCAGGGTGGGACTAAAGGCCATTTCATGTTCTGCCTAGCCAGATTATTGTTAAAACAAATTCTTACAATAATGTCGAAATCAATCAGTAATTTAGACAATAAACATACAGTACATATGGCAGGAAAAAAAGCTCCTCTTTGCAGTGGTGTAAAGTACTTAAGTAAAAATACTTTCAAGTATTACTTACAGTACCTTCGGAAAGTATTCAGACCCCTTGACTTTTTCCACATTTTGTTACGTTACAGCCTTATTCTAAAATGGATTCAATTAAATAAAATCTGCAGCAATCTACACACAATACCCCATAATGACAAAGCGAAAATTGGTTTTTTTGAAATTTTAGCAAATGTATTACAAATTAAAAACAGAAATACCTTATTTACATAAGCAATGAGACTCGAAATTGAACTGAGGTGCATCCTGATTCCATTGATTATCATTGAGATGTTTCTACAACTTGATTGGACATGATTTGCAAAGGCACACACCTGTCTATATAAGGTCCCACAGTTGACAGTGCATGTCAGAGCAAAAACCAAGCCATGAGGTCGAAGGAATTGTCCGTAGAGCTCCGAGACAGGATTTTTCGAGGCACAGATCTTGGGAAGGGTACCAAAAAATGTCTGCAGCATTGAAGGTCCCCAAGAACACAGTGGCCTCCATCATTCTTAAATGGAAGAAGTTTGGAACCACCAAGACTCTTCCTAGAGCTGGCAGCCCAGCCAAACTGAGCAATCGGGGGAGAAGGGTCTTGGTCAGGGAGGTGACCAAGAACCCGATGGTCACTCTGACAGAGCTCCAGAGTTCCTCTGTGGAGATGGGAGAATCTTCTAGAAGGACAACCATCTCTGCAGCACTCCACCAATTAGGCCTTTATGGTAGAGTGGCCAGATGGAAGCCACTCCTCAGTAAAAGGCACATGACAGCCCACTTGTAGTTTGCCAAAACGCACCTAAAGACTCTCAGACCATGAGAAACAAGATTCTCTGGTCTGATGAAACCAAGATTGAACTCTTTGGCCTGAATGCCAAGCGTCACGTCTGGAGGAAACCTGGCACCATCCCTATGGTGAAGCATGGTGGTGGCAGCATCATGCTGTGGGGGACGTTTTTCAGCGGCAGGGACTGGGAGACTAGTCAGGATCGAGGTAAAGATGAATGGAGCAAAGTACAGAGATCCTTGATGAAAACCTGCTCCAGAGTGCTCAGGTCCTCAGACTGGGGTGAAGGTTCACCTTCTAACAGGACAACAACCCTAAGCACACAGCCAAGACAACGCAGGAGTGGCTTCGGGACAAGTCTCTGAATGTCCTTGAGTGGCCCAGCCAGAGCCTGGACTTGAATCCGATCGAACGGCTCTGGAGAGATCTGGAAATAGCTGTGCAGCGACGCTCTCCATCCAACCTGACTGAGCTTGAAATTATCTGCAGTGAAGAATGGGAGAAACTCCCCAAATACATACCCAAGAAGACTCCATGTTGTAATCGCTGCCAATGATGCTTCAAAAAAGTACTAAGTAAAGGGTCTGAATACTTATGTAAATGTGATATTTCTGTTTTTTATTTGTAATAAATTAGCAAAACAATCTAAACCGGTTGTTGCTTTGTCATTATGGGGTATTGTGTGTAGATTGATGAGGAAAAAAACAATCCAATCCATTTTAGAATAAGGCTGTAACGTAAAAAAAAATGTGGAAAAAGTCAAGGGGTCTGAATACTTTCCGAAGGAACTGTAAGTAGTTTTTTTGGGTATCTGTACTTTACTTTACTATTTATATATATTTTTACAACTTTTACTTTTACTTCACTACATTCTTAAAGAAAATAATTTACTTTTTACTCCATATATTTTCCCTGACACCCAAAAGTACTCATTACATGTTGAATGATTAGCAGAATGGGGAAATGGTCGAATTCACGCACATCTCAAGAGAACACGTTGACATCCCTACTGCCTCTGATCTGACAGACTCACTAAACACAAATGCAGCTTTTGTAAATTATGTCTGAGTGTTGGAGTGTGCCCATGGCTATCCATAAATTTAAAAAACAAGAAAATGGTTCCGTCTGCTTTGCTTAATATAAGGAATTTGATACTTTACTTTTGATACTTAAGTATATTTTAGCAGTTACATTTACATTTGATACTTAAGTATATTTACAACCAAGTACTTTTAGACTTTTACTCAAGTAGTATTTTACTGGGTGACTTTCACTTTTACTTGAGTAACTTTCTATTAAGGTATCTATACTTTTACTCAAGTATGACAATTGGGTACTTTTTCCATCACTGCCTCTTTGTTTGCATGAATGATCAGTAACATAAAATAGCTGACATGAACAAAGTTAGAACTAAGAACCTTGTTGATGCATTGATGTTACAAAGGTATGAGAATGAGCTGGCTATGAGGCAGACTGTGGAGGCCGACATCAATGGGCTGAGGAGGGTGCTGGACGAGCTGACCTTAGCCAGATCTGACCTGGAGATGCAGATTGAGGGGCTGAGAGAGGAGTTGACCCACCTCAAGATGAACCACGAGGAGGTGGGTTTGATAAAGACCTCAAGCAGAGGCTATGGGGTGAACAGTGTTATGATTAAACATTAGGCTACTATGTGATGATGAGGCACTGGATTGAATATTGACCAGATATATGTTAATGCTTTCTTCCCAGGACCTCTTAGCCATGCATAATCAGATGAGCGGCCAGGTCAATGTGGAGGTGGATGCTGCACCACAGGAAGACCTCACCAAAGTCATGGCTGAAATCCGCGACCACTACGAGGCCGTCGCTAACAAGAACCGTAAAGATCTGGAGGGCTGGTTCAATGCCAAGGTAACACTGCATCCTTTCTTTTTGGCCAGGGACATGTTTATGTTTTCCAGTTACAGTCTTCAGTGAATGTAATCAGTAATGACCTCCTACGGTATGCTGTCTTTCATTCACAGTCAGAAGAAATCAACAATGTCGTGGCAGTCAGCACAGAGACCCTCCAATCATCCAGATCTGAAATCACTGAAGTTAAGCGCACACTGCAAAGTCTAGAAATCGAACTCCAATCCCAACTCAGCATGGTGAGATAAACTAAAAATACAAAGTTGAAAAATGCTATACCTCTGCACTTACATCCAGTCATCTATAAACGCTTCTCTCTCTCTCTCTCTCTCTCTCTCTCTCTCTCTCTCTCTCTCTCTCTCGCTCTCTCTCTCTCTCTCTCTCTCTCTCTCGCTCTCTCTCTCTCTCTCTCTCTCTCTCTCTTTCTCCCTTATTCTTGTCTAATAGAAAGCATCCCTGGAAGGCACCCTGGCTGACACACAGAGCCGCTACGCCAATATGATGGCCGGCTACCAGAGGCAGGTGACCAGCCTGGAGGACCAGCTTGGTCATCTTCGCGCTGACCTGGACCGCCAGGGCCAACAGTACAGAATGCTACTGGACATCAAGACCAGGCTGGAGATGGAGATCGCTGAGTACAGGAGGCTGCTGGACGGAGAGTTTTCCAGGTTAGCCTGGATCTTTACATAAATCATTGAAAAAGAATGAAGGTCATGAAATGTGTGCCAAAAATAATTGAGCCAAAGTAGGCCTTTCTAACAATATTGTCTCTGCCCCCACAGTCCCTCAACCGCCACCACCACCAAGACCTTTTTGCAGAAGGTGGTGACCTATGTGCAGGAGATTGTTGACGGTGAGGTGGTCAGCACCAACTCAGACACTGTGCAAGAGACCGTGGATGAGGATACATCTTGAATTGGGAGCCACACAGAACAGAACACAAGCTCTCTGATGCCTGCTGTCAAACTTGCTCAGAGAGATTAAGAAATAAAAGTGTTCCGATGTGTTCAAACTACATTTATGTCTCTTGTGCTTTCTTTATATATATTTTTTTACATCAAAACTGTTTCCTATAAAGTAGTGACAATTTTTGACAGCTGTGGTTGCCACAGAGATGGTCACCAATTCTAAAACGTTGTCACAAACACAACGTTTCTTCCCCTTGGTAAATTCTTGCCATTTACTATTATTAAAGGCCCAGTGCAGTTAAAATAAGATTTTCCTGTGTTTTATCTATATTTCCACACTGTGTTTGGAATAATACTGTGAAATTGTGAAAATGATTATAATGCCCTTTTAGTGTAAGAGCTGTTTGAAAAGGCTGCCTAAAATTTCAGGATGTTTTGGTGGGATGGAGTTTTGGCCTGCCTGGTGACATCACTAATAATTAGTTATCAGATCATTATACAAAGATGGGTCTAATCCTGAATGCTGATTGGTTAAAACTGCATTCCAGCTAGTGTCTATTCCACAAGTACCACCGGCTAAATCTATGACGTTACCACCGGCTAAATCTGTTCCATCTGACTGCACAATCCACTGTCTCATCAGCCCAGCCAAGCAATTTATAAACTTGATCTCTACTATAAAAAGCATCTAGACATTATATCACATTTCTTTTAGACTAACATTTAGTTTTCAACAGCGGAGATTTGTATAAACCTTGCAGTCTGTCTCTCCGATATTTGTAAAATTGTTTCAATATTCAAATTCAATCTCCAGCTGTCCCATAGTAATGAACGTGTCGGGAGTCGGGATGAGACAGACAGGCAGGCAGCGTTTCTCACCCAGTCGAAATCATGAATCAGCTGGCATCATTTTTATGGATATATACAAAGAAATGTAAATTGAAAAAGGTCAAACGAAACTAAGTGCAGCTAGTTTGCAGTCTTTCCAGCTTCAGTTTGAAGTGATTGTGTTAGCTGTGTTGTTGGCTAGCTCCTCTGAACAACAGTGTCCTGATGAGTGAGCACATTTTCTATGCCAGGTGAAATCGCGCCTCATTAGCTCATTATTATAGATGTGTCCAAATAAATGTCACTAGAAAACAGCTTAAACAAATGCAAATGCAGCTACTTTGCTGTTATTCTGGCTGCAATTTTTGATGTGTCTGTAAGTTAGCCGTAGTTGGCTAGCTAGCAAGCAAGGGATAAGAACATTGCCAGCTAGCATGCCAATGGAACATTTAGAACGAACGACTGGGTCGCATCCATAGATACAGAACAAAAATACTGAACGACTGGGTCACGTCTCTAGCAACCGAACCGATAGAACGAACGACCAGCCGGCTTGGGTAGCAAGCCTAGATTTGTGTTGGGACTATATCTTGTGGAAGGATGAAATAGTATGAATAAATTAAATCAAAATAATGTTTTTAATGAAAATGTGTCAATCATTATTTGAATATGTCGGTAACCCGTTGTATAAAAGTGACAATGCCCTTGAAGCCGGTGTTTGTAGGATATATTGGCAGAGTGAAGGAAAAGCAGCCAACAACTGCTCAGCATATGTGGGAACTCCTTCAAGACTGTTGGAAAAGCATTCCAGGTGAAGCTGGTTGAGAGAATGCCAAGAGTGTGCAAAGCTGTCATCAAGGCAAAGGGTGGCTACTTTGAAGAATCTAAAATCTAAAATATATTTTGATTTGTTTAACACTTTTTGGTTACATAGTGTTGATGTCTTCACTATTATTCTACAATGTAGAAAATAGTAAAAATAAAGAAAAACCCTTGAATGAGTAGGTGTGTCCAAACCTTTGACTGGTACTGTATATCAATCATAATATTTTGTGAATTAGGCCATAAATCAATCAGGAAGGCCACCAAAAATTCTGAAATTTCCATCCCCAACTACAACATTTTCCGTCTAGATAGAACTGCCAAAGGGGGTGGAGTTGCAATCTACTGTAGAGATAGCCTGCAGAGCTCTATCATACTATCCAGGTCTGTGCCCAAACAGTTTGAGCTTCTACTTCTAAAAATCCACCTTTCCAGAAATAAGTCTCTCACTGTTGCCGCTTGCTACAGACCCCCCTCAGCCCCCAGCTGTGCCCTGGACACCATATGTGAACTGATTGCCCCCCATTTATCCTCTGAGTTTGTACTGCTTGGTGACCTAAATTGGGATATGCTTAATACCCCAGCCATCCTACAATCCAAGCTAGATGCCCTCAACCTCACGCAAATTATCAACGAACCTACCAGGTACAACCCTAAATCCTTAAACATAGGTACCCTCATAGATATCATCCTGACTAACATACCCTCTAAATACACCTCAGCTGTCTTCAACCAGGATCTCAGCGATCACTGCCTTATTGCCTGCGTCCGTAACGGGTCCGCGGTCAAACAACCACCCCTCATCACTGTCAAACGCTCCCTAAAACACTTTAGCGAGGAGGCCTTCCTAATTGACCTGGCCCAGGTATCCTGGATGGATATAGATCTCATTCCGTCAGTAGAGGATGCCTGGTTGTTCCTTAAAAGTAATTTCCTCTCAATCTTAAATAAACATGCCCTTTCAAAAAATACAGAACTAAGAACCGATATAGCCCCTGGTTCTCCTCAGACTTGACTGCCCTTGACCAGCACAAAAACATCCTGTGGCGTACAGCATTAGCATCAAATAGCCCCCGCGATATGCAACTTTTCAGGGAAGTTAGGAACCAATATACACAAGCAGTCAGGAAAGCAAAGGCTAACTTTTTCAAACAGAAATTTGCATCCTGTAGCACTAACTCCAAAAAGTTTTGGGACACTGTAAAGTCCATGGAGAATAAGAGCACTTCCTCCCCAGCTGCCCACTGCACTGAGGCTAGGAAACACTATCACCACCGATAAATCTACAATAATCGAGAATTTCAACAAGCATTTTGCTACAGCTGGCCATGCTTTCCATCTGGCTACCACTAACCCGGCCACCAACTCTGCACCCTCTGCTGCAAACTTGCCCATGCCCCCCCCGCTTCTCCTTCACACAAATTCAGACAGCTGATGTTTTGAAAGCGCTGCAAAATCTGGACCCCTACAAATCAGCTGGGCTAGACAATCTGGACCCTTTCTTCCTAAAACTAGCCGCCGAAATTGTCGCAACCCCTTTTACTATCTGTTCAAAACCCCCCTTTTATAACCCTGGATCCCCCAAAATTGGAAAACTCCGCGGTCACCCCCTCTTCAAAGGGGTGACACTCTAAAACCAAACTGCTAAGACCTATATCCCTCCTGCCCTGCCTTTCGAAAGTATTTGAAAACCCAAATTAATAAACGATCCGACCATTTCGAATACCCCGTACCCTTTTCCCTAGCAAACTGGTTTTTCCCATGGTCAGGGGGCACTTTACCCCGCTCAAAGGGCCTAACGAATTTATAACCCCGATTGTAATGACCGAGTGCAGCCGTCTTCATCGCCGGCCAAGGCTTTCGCTCTTCACCACCGCATTCTTTTGCAGACTAATACCTTGGTTTCTCAAAAAGCGCCCCGCCTGGTTTCCCCCCAAATACTTTCAGATGAGTTTGTAATAGCTGGTTTTGGATGTCCCCATGGACCATAATTAAAACGAAATGGTTCCGATGCTTTGTTTAATTGGTTTGAATACTTTTGTTGTTTTTCGTTACTTTAATTGAATGTTTTTAACCAAGTACTTTTTTGTTTCCGGACTGGTTTTTCTTTCGAGTAACTTTTTTTAAGGATCTTACTGTACTCATACAATGGGTTTTCCTCACGCTTTGGGTTTGCAATATCGAACTTAGCGACTGACCTTGGAAACTGGATGCATGATGTTAAAGGTTTGGTTCTGTTTTAGTGGGCAGAGTGAGGAATAATTTTTCATATTAGGCCCTCTTCGTTGGGCTGGGGATTACCCCCTAAAGATAAACCCACAGGAGTGGTTTGTTTTAAAGACCTCAAAGCAGGGGCTTATGGGGTGAACAGTGTTATGATTAAACATTGGGCTACATGTGATGATGGGCATCTGGATTGAAATATTGACCAGATATAGGTTAATGCTTTCTCCCAGGACCTTTTGAGCCATGCTAATTTAGATGGCCCGGCCAGTCAATGTGGAGGTGGATTGCTGCACCAAGGAAGACCTCACCAAAGTCATGGCTAAAATCCGCCCACTACGAGGCCTTTCGTTTAACAAGAACCGTAAGATCTGGAGGCTGGTTCATCCAAGGTAACCAACGCTCCTTTCTTTTTGGCCAGGGACATGTTGTTTTCCAGTTACAGTCTTCAGTGAATGTAATCAGTATGACCTCCAGGTATGCGTCTTTCATCACAGTCAGAAGAAATCAACCATGTCGGGCAGTCAGCACAGAGACCCTCCAATCATCCAGATTAACCCACTGGAAGGTTAAGCGCACACTGCAAAGTCTAGAAATCGAATCCATCTCAAATCGAAGGTTGAGAAAAACTAAAATACAAAGTTGAAAAATGTTTAAAAAGGGAAAATTACATCCAGTCATCTATAAACGATTCCTTAAGATTTCAAAGGCATCTTTTCCCTTAGTCTCAAGGGGGAAGGGCATCCCGTCTCCTCTGATGTTAACATCTTCATCCACTGCGCTCTTCTTTCTCCGATTGTCTTCAATTCTATTCTCCTCTCTTAATCGCGTCTTCTCATCTTTTCTCCTGCTCTCTCTTTTCTCCCTTTTCCCTTGTCTAATAGAAAGCATCCCTGGAAGGCACCCTGGCTGACACACAGAGCCGCTACGCCAATATGAGGCCGGCTACCAGGGGCAGGTGACCAGCCGGGAGGACCGCTGGTCATCTTCGCGCTGACCTGGACCGCCAGGGCCAACAGAAACAGAATGCTACGGACATCAAGACCAGGCTGGAATGGAGATCGCTGAGTACAGGAGCCGCTGGACGGAGAGTTTTCCAGGTTAGCCTGGATCTTTACATAAATCATTGAAAAGAATGAAGGTCATGAAATGTGTGTGGCCAAAAATAATTGAGCCAAAGTGGGCCCTTTCTAACAATATTGTCTCTGCCTCCACAGTCCCTCAACCGCCACCACCACCAAGACCTTTTTGCAGAAGTGGTGACCTATTGCAGATTGTTGGGGTGGGGTGGTCAGCCCAACTCAGACCCCCCCCCCCCCCCCCCCCCCCCAAATATTTTTTTCAACTTTTCCATGAAAGTTAGTGAACCTTTTACAGTGGGGGGGGGGGGGGGGGGGTTTTTTTTTTTTTTTTTTTTTTTCAACAGCATTTTGCTACGCTGGCCATGCTTTCCATCTGGCTCCATAACCCCCACCACTCTGCACCCTCTCTGCAATTCCCTCCCCCCCCGCTTCTCCTCCAAAATCAGACGCTGATGTTTTGAAAGCGCTGCAATCTGGACCCTACAACAGCTGGCTAGACAACTGGACCTTTCTTCCTAAAACTACCGCCATTTCGCAACCCCGCTATACTATCTGTTAAACCTCTTCATAACTCTGGATCCCAAGTTGGAAGCTCCGCGGTCACCCCCTCTTCAAAGGGGTGACACTCTAATCCAAACTGCTAAGACCTATATCATCCTGCCCTGCCTTTCGAAGTATCGAAGCAAGTTAATAAACGATCCGACCATTTCGAATACCCCGTACTTCTCCCTAGCATCTGGTTTCCGATGGTCAGGTGCACTCACACGCTCAGGTCCTAACGATTTAAACGCGATTGTAATGACGAGTGCAGCCGTCTTCATCGCCGGCCAAGGCTTTCGCTCTCACCACCGCATTCTTTGCAGACTAATACCTTGGTTTCTCAATGCGCTCGCCGGGTTTCCCAACTACTTTCAGATGAGTTCAGTGTGCAATCGGGGCCTTTTCTGACCATGGCGTCTCTATGGGGTCCACGGTTCATTCTTGGGCCGACACTTTCTCCGTGTAATCATATGTCGCTGCTGCTGGTGACTCTCAATCCACTCTACGAACGACACATTTTGTATCTCTGGCCTTCTTGGAACTGTTTAACAACCTCCAAACAGCTTATGCCATACAACATCCTTCAGTAGCCTTCACTGCTCTTAAACACATAAAACTAAATCATCTTTCATCGAACGCTCTACACCCCCCCCCCGCAGAACACCACTTCGCGGGTCTGACTGAGTAGGGGCACTACAATACCTGTTCTGGTTGCTGTAACTCACTTCCAGACTCACATAAAATCTCCATCCAAAGTTAAATCTAGGATGCTTCCTATTTCGCACAAGCTCCTTCACTCATGCTCCCAACAGCCCCGTAAACGACTTCCTACGTCCTTGATTCGGATGCATTTTAAAAAGCCTCCACACTCTCTCAGCAATTGGATGTATCTATCACAGGCCATCCGTTTTGTCTCCAAGCCCCATACACTCCACCCTGTGACCGTACGCCTTGTTGCTGTCCTCACTACATGTTCTCGTCAAACCAGGCTCAGGCCACTAAAATCACTGCTAGGCAATCCCGCTTTTAGCTCATTGGCCCAACCATAGTTATAAGCCTGCATCGAGACTCTGTACTCCATCTCCAAGTCGGCAGTCTATCTTCGTCATCGCGACCTCTCAAATCCGTTGTATCGATCTCGCACACGGTCAATCATGCTGATTGCACATCCTCCTCTCAGTCCTTCCAAAAGGAGTCCGGTAACATTCTCGCTCAGCTCTATCTCACTCGTCTTTCATCTTCCTGTCGCGTCCTTCTGATTCTCGCTGGCTTCGTCTCTCGCCGCATCTCTCTCGCTCTTATGCACTCCTCTCATCCTTTCAGCTCTCTCTCTCTTTCTCCCTTATTCTTGTCTAATAGAAAGCATCCCTGGAAGGCACCCTGGCTGACACACAGAGCCGCTACGCCAATATGATGGCCGGCTACCAGAGGCAGGTGACCAGCCTGAGGACCAGCTTGGTCATCTTCGCGCTGACCTGGACCGCCAGGGCCAACAGTACAGAATGCTACTGGACATCAAGACCAGGCTGGAATGGAGATCGCTGAGTACAGGAGGCTGCTGGACGGAGAGTTTTCCAGGTTAGCCTGGATCTTTACATAATCATTGAAAAGAATGAAGGTCATGAAATGTGTGTGCCAAAAATAATTGAGCCAAAGTAGGCCTTTCTAACAATATTGTCTCTGCCTCCACAGTCCCTCAACCGCCACCACCACCAAGACCTTTTTGCAGAAGGTGGTGACCTATGTGCAGATTGTTGACGGTGAGGTGGTCAGCACCAACTCAGACACTGTGCAAGAGACCGTGGATGAGGATACATCTTGAATTGGGAGCCACACAGAACAGAACACAAGCTCTCTGATGCCTGCTGTCAAACTTGCTCAGAGAGATTAAGAAATAAAAGTGTTCCGAGGTGTTCAAACTACATTTATGTCTCTTGTGCTTTCTTTATATATATATTTTTTTTTACATCAAAACTGTTTCCTATAAAGTAGTGACAATTTTTGACAGCTGTGGTTGCCACAGAGATGGTCACCAATTCTAAAACGTTGTCACAAACACAACGTTTCTTCCCCTTGGTAAATTCTTGCCATTTACTATTATTAAAGGCCCAGTGCAGTTAAAATAAGATTTTCCTGTGTTTTATCTATATTTCCACACTATGTGTTTGGAATAATACTGTGAAATTGTGAAAATGATTATAATGCCCTTTTAGTGTAAGAGCTGTTTGAAAAGGCTGCCTAAAATTTCAGGATGTTTTGGTGGGATGGAGTTTTGGCCTGCCTGGTGACATCACTAATAATTAGTTATCAGATCATTATACAAAGATGGGTCTAATCCTGAATGCTGATTGGTTAAAACTGCATTCCAGCTAGTGTCTATTCCACAAGTACCACCGGCTAAATCTATGACGTTACCACCGGCTAAATCTGTTCCATCTGACTGCACAATCCACTGTCTCATCAGCCCAGCCAAGCAATTTATAAACTTGATCTCTACTATAAAAAGCATCTAGACATTATATCACATTTCTTTTAGACTAACATTTAGTTTTCAACAGCGGAGATTTGTATAAACCTTGCAGTCTGTCTCTCCGATATTTATAAAATTGTTTCAATATTCAAATTCAATCTCCAGCTGTCCCCATAGTAATGAACGTGTCGGGAGTCGGGATGAGACAGACAGGCAGGCAGCGTTTCTCACCCAGTCGAAATCATGAATCAGCTGGCATCATTTTTATGGATATATACAAAGAAATGTAAATTGAAAAAGGTCAAACGAAACTAAGTGCAGCTAGTTTGCAGTCTTTCCAGCTTCAGTTTGAAGTGATTGTGTTAGCTGTGTTGTTGGCTAGCTCCTCTGAACAACAGTGTCCTGATGAGTGAGCACATTTTCTATGCCAGGTGAAATCGCGCCTCATTAGCTCATTATTATAGATGTGTCCAAATAAATGTCACTAGAAAACAGCTTAAACAAATGCAAATGCAGCTACTTTGCTGTTATTCTGGCTGCAATTTTTGATGTGTCTGTAAGTTAGCCGTAGTTGGCTAGCTAGCAAGCAAGGGATAAGAACATTGCCAGCTAGCATGCCAATGGAACATTTAGAACGAACGACTGGGTCGCATCCATAGATACAGAACAAAAATACTGAACGACTGGGTCACGTCTCTAGCAACCGAACCGATAGAACGAACGACCAGCCGGCTTGGGTAGCAAGCCTAGATTTGTGTTGGGACTATATCTTGTGGAAGGATGAAATAGTATGAATAAATTAAATCAAAATAATGTTTTTAATGAAAATGTGTCAATCATTATTTGAATATGTCGGTAACCCGTTGTATAAAAGTGACAATGCCCTTGAAGCCGGTGTTTGTAGGATATATTGGCAGAGTGAAGGAAAAGCAGCCAACAACTGCTCAGCATATGTGGGAACTCCTTCAAGACTGTTGGAAAAGCATTCCAGGTGAAGCTGGTTGAGAGAATGCCAAGAGTGTGCAAAGCTGTCATCAAGGCAAAGGGTGGCTACTTTGAAGAATCTAAAATCTAAAATATATTTTGATTTGTTTAACACTTTTTGGTTACATAGTGTTGATGTCTTCACTATTATTCTACAATGTAGAAAATAGTAAAAATAAAGAAAAACCCTTGAATGAGTAGGTGTGTCCAAACTTTTGACTGGTACTGTATATCAATCATAATATTTTGTGAATTAGGCCATAAATCAATCAATTCATTTCTGTGAAATCTCTTTTCAATGAAGGGATACATTTTCTGTCTGCAAAAACAGTACTGAAATTACCACATTACAATATTCATAATACTAGTATATATATCTACATAGAAACCTTTCCTTTTACGATGTCCATAAGAAATTGGTGATTGTTTGCAGGTGTACAGTCAACCGATAACAAATATATTTTGGAGCGGGTCACAGTAGACTGGCCAAGAGCATTCTAACTTGATAGTCTAGTATGCAAAATTATCAAGCTTGGTGACATTCCATATTTCAGTTACAAGGAAATCTCTCACTGTAATTGGTGGTCTCTCCCACTCTCTACATTCTCAGTTTGAAGGGCTTCCCTGTGACCAGCACTTTACGATGCTCATGGCCAGGAGAAAAGATTTGTAGAAATCGTTGGTTACCATAGTTGTTTAAGTTTGATGTATCAATCTATTTCTCTGCTACAATCTTGAATTTTCAGTCTTTCTTCAACATGTTATTTAGTAAATATCCAGTTGTGTAAAATACTTAAGTAAAAATACTTTGAAGTACCACTTAAGTACTTTTTTTGGGGTATCTGTACTTCACTTTACTATTTGTATTTTTGTTTACTTTTTATTTTACTCCACTACATTTCTAAAGAAAATGTACTTTTTACTCCATACATTTTCCCTGACACCCAAAAGTACTAATTGTATTTTGAATGCTTAGCAGGACAGGAAGATGGTCCAATTCATGTACTTATCAAGATAACATCCCTGGTCATCCCTACTGCCTCTGATCTAGCGGACTCACTAAACACAAATGGTTTGTTTGTAAATTATGTCTGAGTGTTGGAGTGTACCCCTGGCTATCCGCATTTATTTATTTTTAGTCATCTGGTTTGCTTCATATAATGAATTTGAAATGATTTATACTTTTACTTTTGATACTTAAGTATATTTTTGCGATTACATTTACTTTTGATACTTAAATATATTTAAAACCAAATACTTTTAGTATTTTACTGGTTGACTTTCACTTTTACTTGAGTTATTTTCTATTAAGGTATCTTTACTTTTACTCAAGTATGACAATTGGGTACTTATTCCACCACTGTATATAAACATTAGGCCTAGGGCTATTTGTTGAGACTGGTAAAACAAGTACAATAGAGTGCAGATACTTATAGTATGTTCTTATGTATATATGTAAAGTATGCATGGTGTGTATTCAGGGCTCTAATTGCGACCATTTTGTTAGCATATGCTCCTAAATACAGTATTTTGCTGTGCGACCTGGAATTTTTATTTGGGAGCACCAGTGCGCCTAGAAAAAAAATTGCCCAGGTAATAGTTGTAGTAATTATTATGCTTCTCTGTACCGCAGCCTCCGAGTGACTGTTCAAGCTTTACCGTTCAAACTTTATGACCATATTATCAGCGCAACGTTTTTTTCTTTCTGTCTCGGATTGACCGGACTGCATTTTACATATATAAATCATGTCGCGGCCGTTCTGAAACTACTTGCGGGCCACTAACTATTTGTAAATGACCTTGTGTCATCATGTTACATCATTAGCTAGATAGCTAGCTAACAACCTGCCAACTTTACCAGTAGTAAGCAAACATTTGGTGGCACAGAAAATGGATATTTCTTCAAACTGTATTTTAACGCGATTAATCTCACACCAGTGCTACCAATGACAAATGTTAATTTATAATCCACTGTGTATTTAACGTTCGTTGACTGTTTTATACCGCAAAGTATGACTTCTGTGTTACTTTTGCCAAAGAAAATGTCCACAATAGTCATTCTATATGTGTTGCACACAATGTATGCGATTCAATGTTCTGCAGAATTTGTAATAATTTGGATTAAGTGCTGCTCCGTCAATTCAAAATATTGTTATAATCAATTATGTGCACTGGAATGGCTGTTAAGTAAACAGAATACGTTGATTATAGTGTTTTAAGAACACATTCAAGCTTCATGTGCCTTTCTGAACAATGTTCAGTACCATCAATATTTCTTTAAAAAATGATCTAGATCACTCAAGGGAGTATTGCACAGAGCTGAAGGAGCATTGTGAAGTGACCTTTGGGGGACATTGGAGGCACTAAAGGGCACAAAAGGTGGACTGGTGGTCTCACATTGCCACTTAACCTGTCTATCAAGAGAAAGATGTCCAGACTCACTCAGATACAGTACATCCCCCACAGGTGACAGAGTTATCTGATGGTAAGTAGCCTACTACCTGCACCAAACAGTAGTACCTGTTTGGCCAAAGATGCAAGTCCTAAGAAAGTTAGGATTTTGTGCGTGAAACAGGTTAGAATTTAGATTCCACAGATCTTGTATTGACTCTCCTCCCGCCCAGACCTGATTAGTGAGCCTGTTAATTTGTTTTGTTTTCGTTAGCTTTTGGCTAAGGGTGGAGTGATTTCACTGCATGTCATCTAGGTAGAGCCCCCTCTCCTCTCCCTCATTTCGTAGCATAAAAAGGCCTGCGTCCAACGACTCCTCACTCACTCCTCTCTACTCAGACCAGACAGCAACTTCCGTCACCATGACCTCCTTCTCCAGCAACAGCTTTGTGTCCTCTGGTGAATCCATAAAGGGAGCATCTATGGGCTCCTTTCGCCACATGTCCATGTCTAGGGGAGGTGGACACATCAGCGCCATGAGGGCCGGCAGCATGTACGGGGGTGCCGGTGGGTCCGGGGTGCGCATCTCCAGTGCCTCCAGCACCGTCTCTGCTGGCAGTGAGGCTGGTGGCAGCTCCGCTGTGAACGAGAATAAGAAGGCCACCATGCAGAACCTGAATGATCGTCTGGCCTCCTACCTGGACAAGGTCCGCTCCCTGGAGAAGGCAAACGCTGATCTAGAGATGAAGATCCACCAGTTCCTGGAGAACAAAGCCACACCTGAGGCTCACGACTGCACTACCTTCAAAGTCGTCATCAACAAACTCCAAATCCAGGTAAGTCCACCAAACAACCTCTGCTAAACAGGTAGCTTCTATTAAACAGAGTCAGACTGTGGTGAAGGGAATGGTAGAGGGAATGTAGAAGAGGTTTAGAAAAATGGGCCTTAGTGTCAGTATAATGGTGTGAGCGTCATCATGCCCTCTGTGATCCCTTTCGATACAAAATAATAAGCATTCAGAAAAGACTGTTGCTTGGATACATTGATTTTTTAAAAATCAATTTGAATAGTGTTCATTGACATCAATGGATAAACTTAAAGCCATTTTAAACACAAAATGAAGCACAATGCTTACATGCTTCCAACTCTGTTGGAACAGAACCCTCAGTAAGATAAAAGCAGAGTGGGTATTTTTGCATCAACAGCCTTTCCTGTGTTTCCACTCACTCTGGGCCACATCTTAATTGGGGAGAACGGGCTCGTGTTATGAGTGGAATGGTATCAAATACATCCAACACATGGTTTCCACTGCCATTATTATGAGCCGTTCTCCCCTCAGCAGCCTCCTGTGATCCAAACAGAGTTTCCCTGAGGCCTATAGACCTAGGCCTATACTAAAAAGGCTTTATTTGGTCAGGGATGCTTAGAGAGCAAGCCTTAGGGCAGGGATCGTTAACTGGCAGATTTTATTTGGCCCCCCCAAAGAGTCCGATTATTTTTCTTCGTTTTTGGACATAAAAGACTGTAAAATCTCTAGGAATTTGCTCATTTTAATTTAGGAAAGCTATTCTCAAGTATTTCCCCTCATAAATAGAGAGACATAGAGTATGTGATCATGTACCAATGTAATCAAGGTTTGAAAGGATTATGTTTTTGTCAAATACAATATCTGTTTGGGATTCTTGCGTCAATTTGCGGAGTATAAATGATTTATAATTATGTTCCAGCCCCCCGACCATCCGCTCAATAAAAAAATCAGCCCTGCCTTAGGGGGTAACATATAGTTGGTTCTCATTCTGTGTAGTTAAACTTTTGAAAATTATCCAAATAATACCAGGCACTGTAAAACAAGAATGAAGACAGGCTACCCTGTTTTATGTCAAATTGAATGTGTTCTCTGTTTTTGCATCCCATGCAACCCATATTAGCTGATTGCAAAATAGTTTATGTTTCTTTCACAGTAGGTTTGTGCAACTCTCTGCACTGTTGGTAGCCGGATTAAATGATTTGCCAATTATTCAACCATTTATCCCAACATTTGTGATTGGCATTGTACCTGTCTTCTTTCTATTCCATTGTGACAGTGACATTCCTCTGTGCCCCCTTTCAGCTCTTTGATGCCACTCGTATGAATGGAGTATTCTACATGGCTATTGACAATGCTAAGCTGGCAGCAGATGACTTTCAAGTCAAGTGAGTGTGAGAATGACTGTGGTAGCTGTATATTACATCAGCAAGTATCCATTAATGCAACCTCTATGAAAATTGGAAAAAAGTGTGGTACAAAAAGTGTAGTACAAATGTTGCCAAACAAAAGGCAAACTGTTGGTGTTTTGATGTTACACAGGTATGAGAATGAGCTGGCTATGACGCAATGTGTGGAGGCTGATATTGCTGGGCTGAGGCAGGTGAGGGACGAGCTGACCATTGGAGGATCCAACCTAGAGATGGCAGTTGAGGAGCTGAAGGAGGAGTTGGTCCACCTCAAGAAGAACCACAAGGAGGTGCGCCTGAATGATTGCACTAAGTACCAAGTTATCAAAGCTTCTAAGCTAGGGGGAAAAAGGTTGACACTTGGTCTTCTGATATTTCTTCTTCAGGAGCTCAAGGCCCTCCGGGCGCAGGTGGGTAGTCAGACGGTCAACGTGGAGGTTGATGCTGCACCACAGGAAGACCTCACCAAAGTCATGGCTGAGATCCGTCAGCACTACGATGCCATTGCTGCCAAGAACCACAAAGAACTGGAGTGCTGGTTTAATGCAAAGGTAATACCAGATCTTTTACTTTTGACCAATGACATGATAATGTTTTTAACTAATTATTTCTAATGTCTCTTCAGTGAATTTGATAGCTAATTATGCCCTTTATGTCATTTACAGACAGAAGAAATCCAGAAAGCTGTCACCTGCAGCACCGAGACCGTCCAATCATCCCAATCTGAAATCACTGAAGTTAAACGCATAATGCAAAGTCTAGAAATCGAACTCCAATCCCAACTCAGCATGGTGAGATTAACTACAAACACCAAATTGAGAAAAAGATGTCCTCTGTATTTACGTTTATTAACCACCCATCTTCTGCAGTATGTCACAGCTCCTATTCATTTCTCTTTTCCCTATTCTTGTCTAATAGAAAGCATCCCTGGAGGGCACCCTGGCTGACACACAGAACCGCTATGCCAATTTGCTATCGAGTTATCAGATGCGGGTGACCATCTTGGAGGGCCATCTTGGTCAGATACGTGGTGACTTGGAGCGCCAGGGCCAGGAATACCAGATGCTGCTGGACATCAAGACCAGGCTGGAGATGGAGATCACTGAGTACAGGAGACTGCTGGACGGAGAAATGACAAGCAGGTGAGCCTGGGATTCTACACCTCAACCCGCACAAGTCTTCCAGAGCATTCGATTTAATTGAAATAAAGATTGTATGGCAAAAACTATTGAGCCAAAGTAAGTCTACCTAATGATGTTGTCTCTGACCTTGCAGTGTCTCAACAGCCACCACAACGCGCAAGGTGGTGACTATCGTCATGGAAAGTGTTGACGGCAAGGTGATCAGTGAGACCAAGACCAAGTGAGACACATCTTGAAACGGGGACTTCACAGAACAGAACACCATCCCTCTGATGCCTGATGTCAACCTTTCTCAGAAGCTGTGATTCAATTGGGTTGTGTAAACGTGTATCTTGGAATTGATATAAGCCCTCTGATACCTTCAGATAGATTTGTCAATAAAACAAAGCCCTACATCTTTTGTTTTATTTTTGTTTTGATTTGACAACAAAAAAAAAAGACAGAAAAAAGCTATCCAAAACATAGTTGTGGCAATTAGGCCAAGATTGATTATATTGCAGTTTTGGTTGAGTAGGCTGTATCATGATCTCTATTGAAACAATAACAATTATTTTGTTCACAGACAAAGAATAATACAGTATACCGTACTCTCCCCTATAGAGTTAAGCTTTGCCAAACAGATGAGCCTAGATCCTAACATAATATTCACTAACATAATTGATCAAGTCACTTTCACTGAAAAATGGCAAAGGCCTACACCATAGGAGGCTGGTGGGAGGACCTATGGCAGGATGGGCTCATTGTAATGACTGGAATGGAATATATGGAACTGTATCAAACATATAGAAACCACATGTTTATAGCTCCTCCCACCAGCCTCCTCTGGCCTACACACAGAGTAACATTGCATTTTTAAATAAACTGCTGTTTTTTGCTCCCTACATGAAGTGTCATACTGTTTAATCAGAGGCTGCCCTCTTATGCCATGTTATAGTAATGCAGTTCCATCACTTCTATGGCAGAGGGCTTCAAATACAAAAGCCATTTGACTTGTAGGATATGAATGGGATTCAGTTTTATTAATCTGGCATGGATAGTGTAACTTCCAGCTAAACATTTTGTGGGGTGGTAGGCAGCCCAGCAGTTGTAGCCGAAAGGTCACCCATTCAAATCCCAGGCCAGGCGCTGGGATAAAAGGGGGGAAATTGATCTGGCAACTGGAGGGCTGCTGGGTTCATATCCTAACAACAATCCCCACAACATGCTCTCCATCCAGGGGTGCTGCACTGCAGCTTGACCCTGTGCTCCTCCCAACTGTGTGTCTGTATGATGTGTGTGGAGGGTTGAGAATGCAGAGAGCAGAATATACATTTCCGTTGTTTGCTGTGACTGCGGACAATAAAGTTGTATCGTATTATTTTAGGCCTTTTTCACACTAGCCTACTGAGTTAACGAGCTGTACTGCTCTGGCCTGATTCTGAAACTCTGTGAAACTGTGACAGTCCGCTTTAGAGTATATTTCAAGATTTGTTTCCAGATTTCTATGAAATATGACCTATAATTCATTAGTGAAATAGTTTTCTTTCCAAATTTCTTTAAGTATGTTCAAAAGCAGCTTTTCTGTGTTGGAATGGTGTGGGCGTACCTCAGCAACAGAATGGTGTGGGCGTATATACCGGTCCATAAAAATATTCACGCGACTAGACCGCTGATTGGCCAGCTCCTCTATGAGGAAATAGCAAGCATTTTTTAAACGTCTGTTTGAGATAAAAGTTTGAGGTTGATTTCTTTATATAGTTTTTCTCCAATTTATGCTTTGGCCACAAATACGAGTAAAGGATGAGTCAACAACATTATTTGGGTATGAGTTAACAGAATATTAACTTTTAAAAGTGAGATTTTCACTGGACAGTTACTTTAATGTGCAATCTAGGCTCCATGGGAGAGAGAGAAACAATCATTACATTTACATTTACATTTTCGTCATTTAGCAGACGCTCTTATCCAGAGCGACTTACAAATTGTGGTATATAACAAATTACCAAAGTACAGAAGTCTCTAATTACAACAATGAGAAGAATAACAGTGGCTATTAATACTTGCAGCCTGTATTTGAGTTGGCTTACCACAGACACATAGCTAGCCCCTTTCCAATGCTCAGTCAAAGAGATTGAAAAATAATTTGAGTTCACTCAGTTTGATGGCTTTACTTTTTGAAAGATATGTGACATTTACTTTTTATTCTTATGTTTGCTCTACGTCACGTACGTTTTCTCCTCAAGTCTGGGTTTAATTTAGCTTAGCAAGCCTAATTTATTAAATGTTTCTTAGAAGAAGATAACTAGTAGTAGCTAGTATGAAAGGACCATACAACATGGCAAAACAGGTAATATGACTAGAGTTTGCTACCTAGCTACCTAAATTAGCTAACTTTAGCTTTCACTGAACTGCAGTTTTAGTGTGGTGCCCTTCAACTGTTATGATGTTTGAACTGAACCACAGAAGTTTGAACTGAACCACAGCACTCGCAGTGCACACAGCTTCAAGTGAGCCAATTAGAGTTTGACTTGTCGGCTAACTCCAGGGTGGGCCCTGGCCCCTGGGATAAAGGGATTGTTCACACAAATTACAAAATGACACATTGGTTTCTTTACTTTGTAAGCAGTCTGTGGACAAGGTATGACAACAATCCATGCTTTGGTTTAGTTTCCCTGGCACTGTTTCCAAATGCTAACATTTTAGCAAATGTGTCAATAATCCCATTCAAGTCATGGTACTGATATTAGCATTTTTCACACATCATGTTCAAATAATCTATAAGTGACTTTGTTGAGCTTCACAGTCAAATGTAGATACTTTCAGATGCCAAAACCATCACAAAACCAGCCTTTTCTTGTTCCTCATCCTCATCTCACCACTGCCTCCTCATACATTTGTCACTGAAACTTTAATTGATAAAAGGAAATCACCTTAAATATGCATAACAAGTGACATCACACTTCAGAGACTTTAGCAAAGAGGATAGGAAGTAGGAAGATAGGCAGAAACTGCTTCTCTAATAGAAATCCTGTGCATGTGCAGGCCGTCAAATCAAAGGCACTCCTTCGATATAGTTGTTTTTGACGAAAATTTTAATGTGTCAGTTTGTCACTTTCACGAGGTTGGAGTAGTTCAGCTACATAAGACATTGGCTCAAATCTAGATTGTGCTTTTAGATTTCGAGAAAATTAACAACTTCCCAAACCCCAAATTATTCTGCAGCGTGAAGCGTTCCCGGAAGTGTAGCAATGTTGGGCCTATGGGTTTAGGAACTCTGTGACTTTAGCATAAAAATGTCAATAGCCAATATGTTGTGCACCTTCAAGGGGAATGAGGCCATCTATGACACTAGGGGGCATCAGTGAGAAATATCAGAGGTGTTGTCAGTCAGTGGAGAGGAATCTACAGTAGAATGACCCCACACCGATTCAGTAGCAGCACTGCAGCACAACATTGTGCCAACATAACATATACACATAATAAAGATCTACAGAGATGTCAGGAAAGGGTTAATGGGTATTAGCTTACTGACATACTTTTTATTTTGAGATTGAATACATTGGGATAAAACATTAGGCTAATCTTCATTTAAGGATTGTATACTACTCCCCCATTGCAGATAGAGTCAAAATGATATAGATTGCAATAATCCAAAAATAATACGTTATATAAAAAAACATTGACTGCTTTTTGGACACATTTTGTTTCCAAATGTTGTCAGTTTGATGTCAATGAACTCTGCAGGGCATTGAGATACTGTATGTTAGTGTCATAAGTGAAACTTAGTTATGAAGTTGTAGAAACTGGTTTGTCACCTCTGTCAACATGATTGCTCAGGAAAAATGTTTTCTCTGTAGTATTATACACTGTTACGAGTTCAGCGGTTGGCATTCTTTGAATAGACAGCTCATACATGCTTGTGTTGCTTTTCTTCATCCTACTTTGATGAATGATACAAAAGCTCTAAAAAGGGTGTGTGATGTTTTTGGCTTCAAGTTAGCATCAGCTCTGTTTCATGGGAACAAACCCATGAAGTTTCACTTGTTGGTTGAAAACTACGATTTTTTCAGATATGGTGCTTGTGTAGTTGAGGTATTGCATAAGGTAGAAACAATCTTTGTAATCTTGAGCATTTCAATACAATAGACATCATCAGAGTTCTCACTCGACTCCAGAAAGTCCTGAAATGTGAGGAAATTTGTGTTTTTTAAAATTAAGTTCAGGCAACCTTCCAGAACCTTACACTCTAACCATAATTAAAAAATCACAGTAAACTCTAATAAGGACCTGCTGTAAACTGTTCTAAGAAGCCTTTTATAGCTTTAACCTTTGTGAACAAGATATTTCTTGCAACTGATTGTCTTTTCACGGTTTTGTTTCCTGAGAGAGGTGATCTCACCCTTTCTCACTTTGGCTATAATATTAATTCTGCTACAAACATAAACATTTTAAATAGGAATTCCAAACTCCAATCTGCACTCTTGTGGTTTTGCATCCAAGATAATCAATATTCAAATTCGTTAGCCAACAACACAGAATACATTTCTATCGGCCTAACTTTCAAAAAGTGTTTTTGAAATCCCGTCTACTATACACTCCTTTATAGTGTAAAGCAATGTTTAACACGTCAACCAATTCAGTGTACTCTACAAAAAAAATAAAATAATAATATTCACAGGACTTTGGATTGTGTCAAGTTCATTACAATAGATATGATTTGGTGGTCCTCTGTAGCTCAGCTGGTAGAGCACGGCGCTTGTAACGCCAAGGTAGTGGGTTTGAACCCCGGGACCACCCATACACAAAAAAATAAAATGTATGCATGCATGACTGTAAGTCGCTTCGGATAAAAGTGTCTGCTAAATGGCATATTATTAGTATTATTTGGAAACAATATATGATTGATTTGTTATGTAGGTGGAGTTCTCACATACAGTAATGTGTCATCGTTGTCTCACCCTAGTATTAGTCTAAAGAGCAAGTAAGGCCTCAATGCTGTCAGGTCATCATAACTACCAGAGCTACAGTTAGGGATTACTTTCAAATGTCATCTGTTTCTCAACAGTCATAAATTATAATTCTATGACTTGTTTGCATTGGTGACCTTCAATGAAAAAAACTGTCTAAAATCAACAATTACTTTTGTAGGCTGAACTGGTTTGAATCTTAACTACTTTGGAATGCATGCCTGGTGTGCCCTTTTATAGTATGTAATTATTGTATTGAGTTCCAAGTGTTGTCTATATCCTCCTCTCATAGCATAAAAGGAGCTTGGACCAACTGCTCTGCACTCACTTCTCTCCAGCCAGAGCAGTAAGACATCAGCAGACTCCATCAACATGTCCTTCTCCAGCAGCAGCTTCAGATCATCCTCAGGTGGATCCATGAGGGGCTCATCTATGGGATCCTCACGTATGTCCATGTCTGGAGGTGGTGGCATGTCCATGTCTGGTGGTGGCAGCCGCATCAGTGGCAGCGTGTACGGGGGTGCTGGTGGCTCTGGGGTGCGCATCTCCAGTGCCAGAGCCTCCAAGTCCTTCTCTGCTGGTGGTGCTGGCTTCGGTGGAGGCTCCAGCTTCAGTATGTCTGGTGGCGGAAGTGACAGCCATGTCATCGGCAACGAGAAGTTCTGCATGCAGAACCTGAACGACCGTCTGGCCACCTACCTGGCCAAAGTCCACACCCTGGAGAAGGCCAACGCTGAGCTGGAGCTGAAGATCCGCCAGTTCCTCGAGGCCAAGACCTCCCCCACTGCTCGCGACTATGGCTCATTCCATGTCATCATCAGTGACCTCCAATCCAAGGTAGGCTATTGTATGCCAGCATTGTTACACTTTTATTTCATGCCACATATTGAAAAACTTGCACTAAGTATTTTATTTTAAATTTAAAACAACAACAAAAAGTCTTAATTTTCTTTTCAGATGCAGGAAGCCATCCGTATGAATGGTGCAGTCCATCTCAGCATTGACAATGCCAGGCTTGCCGCTGAAGACTTCAGAAGGAAGTGAGTTCACTCACCAAATGCCAAATATTTTGTCCACTCACTCAGACAAATATTATGACTCAATACCAGAAAAGTGACCGACTGATTCCAGTCTAGTGTACAAATAAAAATATTGATGCCATCTGTCATGTAAAAAAGCTCACACTGTGAAATAGCTCACAATCGTTGATTATGATCGACTGTGAGCTTTTTTTACATGACACCGTCAACCTAACAGACTGACAGAGCAAGTTAAGACACACTGGTACACTGTAAATAATGTCATGCTTTATGATGTAGGTATGAGATCGAACTGTCCATGTGTCAGTCAGTGGAAGCAGACATCGCTGGGCTGAGGAGAGTTCTGGAAGAGCTGAATATGTCCAAGAAGGACCTGAGCATGCAGATCGAGGGGCTGAGAGAGGAGTTGGTCTTCCTCAAGAAAAACCACGAGGAGGTAGGGTTTTCTTTTCCTTTTTCTGATTCCCATACTAGCCTATCTATAGTGTCTTGCTCTTAAAATAACAGATCCAGCCAGGCAATACTGTACAACATTTTAGTGAGCAAGAAATACATCATAATCTATGTATTTAAATCTAGAAACACTTGAACAAATCCAGAACCACTTTCTGAACCATGACGATGACCTAGAGACCTAAACCCGTTTCATTGTCCTTCTTCAGGAGCTGTTGTCCATGCGTGCCCAAATGAGCGGCCAGGTCCAAGTGGAGGTGGACGCTGCACCACAGGAAGACCTCAGCAAAGTCATGGCTGAGATTCGCGAACACTACGAGGCTGTTGCTGCCAAGAACAACAGAGATCTGGAGGGCTGGTTCCACGCCAAGGTAATCCTGTTTCTCATTATAAAAATGATTCCATAATGTAGGTCCACGTTATTCAAAATGTCCCATCAATTGAATTGTTCACGTAAAAACATTGTTTTGGATGGTGTTGTCCACAGACCGAGGCGCTTAACAAGGAGGTCGCAATTAGCACAGAAGTTATCCAAACATCCAGATCTGAAATTTCAGAAGTCAAACGCACACTGCAGAGTCTTGAAATCGAACTTCAATCACAAATGAGCATGGTAAGACTGTTCAAAAATCATGAAAATATATTCATTTTGTTTCAATGTCTGCCACCCATCGATGAATTTGCTCAACTGATTCCTGAGGTTTTGTTCTGCTCTTCACTTCTCTCCAATAGAAATCATCCATGGAAAATACCCTTGCAGAGACAAAGAACCGTTTCTCCATGCAGCTGTCGGGTTATCAGATGCAGGTGACCAGCTTGGAGAAACAGTTGGTAAATCTCAGGGCTGACTTGGAACGCCAGGGCCAGGAATACAAGATGCTGCTGGACATCAAGACCAGGCTGGAGATGGAAATCGCTGAGTACAGGAGACTGCTGGACGGAGAGATGACAAGCAGGTGAGCCAAACAAGCCTATTCTATTAGTTCATCAAATTATATTCTTAAACTATCAAGGGTGTTTTGATTCTAAACTTTGAGCAGGTTCTAGGCTAGGCTCACTGACTTTCTTAATAGCAAAACAGTTTGTACACTACCAGTAGAATTATGTCCAAAATCTGCAAGGTCAAGACATATTGTGTTTGGTACAGTCGATTATGGTGTTTTCTGTTTGGTCCACAGTGTCTCCTCCTCCTCCTCCTCCTCCACCAGCACCAGGAAGGTCATCACTGTGATAGAAGAGGTGGTGGATGGGAAAGTGGTCTCCTCCAAGCAATCCTCAGCTTCTTCATATGCACGCCACTGATGTAGTACATGAGTGTACTGAGGGAAAGACAACAACTGATTATCTGACCCACTAAACATCCAGTGCATATCTGGAAGGCAACAGCAATAAGAATAATACGTCTGTAATCCTTTGTTTGTTCAATTACTTTGTCTTCATAATAGGCAAAAAATGTTTTTTTAACGACTGCTTTTGTTTCATGAATGATTTCATGTGTACCTATTTAATTAAACTTCATGAAATAGTTTCAGTTGTGAGTGGTAAGGTGGAGCTCGGTGTTAGCCTGATTACTAGGTGGGGTGTCAACTAGTGTTGGCTTTAGGGATGCAAGTAGAAGTTAAGCAAACCTACATGTACATGTCCCAGCATGATAATCTAACATATTTACATGAAACATATTTACAGCACTCATTTATTCTGAAATGTTAATATGATACAATTACATTCAGAAATTCAGCTAAGAGTGAACAGTTTGACAACCATTCCGAGTCTCCCCTTCATGTCAGGATAATCAGAAGGACCAGTTACTTCAGGGTGGAACATCCCAAGCAGCCAGGAATATAGAAAATGAAATATGAATGGGTAGGATTTAACCCCTAGAGCCTATTGACGCACCGGTATGTCAATCTAAGTAACGTAATAAAAAAATCTAAATCCAACGCATCCGCCTGTGTCGCCCTTCCGCATCTGCGGTTGAAAGTGGCAGAGCTACAGCACTGTTTGTCAGACCAGGAGACATCCCGAAAATCGGTCTTCTCACCAAAACGTCTGCAGCATCCGAACGGTAAGCCACAGATATAACGGTATGCTACAAGCAAGCCTGTTTCTCTCCCCAGTCAGAGGCAGCCTCCCTGTCTCCCAGACTCTGACCAGCGGCAGCAATCTAACCTCCTCCCTACTATGTTTAGAAAACATATTTGTAGGCCGAAATTGTGGGGGAAAGCACTAATCATGTTTATGCAACCTAATAATCACCCTTAGAAAACTTCCAGAACCACTTTAATTTTGATTTCAAATTGAGTAAATCTACAAGAGAAATTGGCCCACCCTAGTCATAGGAATGTGACATTGCACAGCAGAAAGCTGGTTTATTTCTCCTTTCTCACTATTTTTCTTCTTGATTTCAATATGGAATGAGTACTGGTATTTGCACATTCTGTTTCGTATTGATTAAAAGGCTAATTTTAAGAAAAAAAAGTAACATCTTGTTTTTTTAACAATAGTAGCAGTTCATTCAATTGGGGCAGGCATGGGGCATGGGGGTGCACGAGATGTTCCCACATGATAAAAGGGGGGCATGAGTGAAAAGGTTCGGGAAGCACTGGCCTAGGTGATTATGTAGGGTAGGCTATCAATTCAGCTACATATTTTGTATGACAGTGATTTTTGAGTGGGTCAATGCAAGATGCTGCATTGGAATGTTGAGTCAGTTGATTCACAGGACTGAGAGAGGAAGGGGGTCCCTCTGGCAGGTCTTCTAGGCTCCTACACATGTGCAGTCAACGTGCTCTGTTCATAACCCTCAGGTGTCTCAGCTTTGTCTTTGAGTTTAGTAACCATTTTAGAAAGACCTACTACATAGTGGAAGTTATTGAGCTTTTGAAAGGGTTTGGTCTGATCTCATTGTTTTAAGTCTGGGATTTAAACACACTATCAGACTATTTTCACCAAACTGGGACAGAATAATGTAGATAGTTTTTGTTATGATACTGTAAAACTCAGTTATATTCTGCTGGTGTTTGAAAAGAATGATGACTATCAAACAAAAAATAGTCAACACAGCAGGCTAAACCTATCTGAGCATAAGACCAGTGACTTTACCACAGATTAACACATCCTTTTCTCCCTCTCCTCCTCCTCCTCCTCCTCCTCCTCCTCCTCCTCCTCCTCCTCCCAGACACCTGCGCAGCTGTGGGGCCCTGGCAGCACGGTGTGCCACCCTTCCCCTGTCCTCCCCCCTCCTCCAGACCACACCCTCCCGCAGCTTCATTAACCTGGCTGCCGCCATCACTGCCCGCAGGATGGAGTACTCTGAGAGCCGCACACTAGGTTGAGACATCATCACACACACAACTCCTCTCTGCCCCTCTGTCTTGTCAGTGTCACACCCTGGCTCTGGGGACTCTATATGTTGAGCCAGGGTGTGTAGTTTCTATGTGTTTTGTTCTATGTTCACAGTCTAGTTCTTGTATTTCTATGTTGGCCAGAGTGGTTCCCAATCAGAGGCAACGAGTGTCAGCTGTTGCTGGTTGTCTCTGATTGGGAACCATATTTAAACAGTCTGTTTTCCCATAGGGTTTGTGGGATCTTGTTCCGTTTGGTTTGTTCCGTGTTGGTTGTGTTTAACCGTAGGACTGCACGTATCGTTTGTTGTTTTGTTTGTATTATCACTTAAGATAATAAATATGTTCGTTCATCACGCTGCGCCTTGGTCTACTCCGTCTAACGATCGTGACAGAAGATCCCACCATACCAGGACCAAGCAGCATGTCCAGGAACAGGCAGCCTGGACATGGGAGGAAGCGCCGGGAAAGGAGCTGGAGAGGTTGGCGATGGCCCAGGTGGGCAAAGTGTGGTCCTGGGAGGACATGCTCGGGGGAAAAGGGCCATGGGCTAAGATTAAGGCCCTGACGAGAGAGGAGCAACGGCGTCAACAGTGTCGTCGTCGGACGGACGAGAAGCAACCCCAAAAATGTTTTAGGGGGGGGCACACGGCATGGGCGACTGGGCAGCAGGAGGCTGCCACAGGGCGAATTGGGAGGTTGGCAGAGGAGGCCGCCAGGTTACGGGGGCCACTGGTCAAAGAGGGGAAGGAAGGTGTAGAGGCACGGCGAGAGGTACTGGGGTGTGTTACCAGTCCGGTCCGGCCCGTTCCAGATCCCTGCGTAGGGCCAGTGGTGTGTGTCCCCAGTACGGCCCGGCCTGTTCCTGCTCCTCGCACCAAGCCTATGGTGCGCGTCGCCAGCCCGGCTCGGCCTGTTCCTGCTCCTCGCACCAAGCCTACGGTGCGCGTCGCCAGCCCGGCTCGGTCTGTTCCTGCTCCTCGCACCAAGCCTACGGTGCGCGTCGCCAGCCCAGCCCGGCCTGTTCCTGCTCCCCGCACCAAGCCTATGGTGCGCGTCGCCAGCCCAGCCCGGCCTGTTCCTGCTCCCCGCACCAAGCTAACGGTGCGCGTCGCCAGCCCAGCCCGGCCTGTTCCTGCTCCCCGCACCAAGCTAATGGTGCGCGGCGCCAGCCCGGCCCGGCCTGTTCCTGCCACTCGCACCAAGTCTACGGTGCGCGTCGCCAGCCCGGTCCGGCCTGTTCCTGCCACTCGCACCAAGCCTACGGTGCGCGTCGCCAGCCCGGCACGGCCTGTTCCTGCCACTCGCACCAAGCCTACGGTGCACGTCGCCAGGCCGGCCCGGCCTGTTCCTGTCACTCGCACCAAGCCTACGGTGCGCGTCGCCAGCCCGGCCCGGACTGTTCCGGCTACACGCACCAAGCCAGTGGTGCGAGTCGTCAGCCCGGTCCGGCCCGTTCCTGCTCCACGCACCAAGCCAGGGGTGCGAGTCGTCAGCCCGGTCCGGCCCGTTCCTGCTCCACGCACCAAGCCAGGGGTGCGCGTCGTCAGCCCGGTCCGGCCCGTTCCTGCTCCACGCACCAAGCCAGGGGTGCGCATCGTCAGCCCGGTCCGGCCCGTTCCTGCTCCACGCACCAACCCAGGGGTGCGAGTCGTCAGCCCGGTCCGGCCCGTTCCTGCTCCACGCACCAAGCCAGGGGTGCGCGTCGTCAGCCCGGTCCGGCCCGTTCCTGCTCCACGCACCAAGCCAGGGGTGCGCGTCGTCAGCCCGGTCCGGCCCGTTCCTGCTCCACGCACCAAGCCAGGGGTGCGCGTCGTCAGCCCGGTCCGGCCCGTTCCTGCTCCACGCACCAAGCCAGGGGTGCGCGTCGTCAGCCCGGTCCGGCCCGTTCCTGCTCCACGCACCAAGCCAGGGGTGCGAGTCGTCAGCCCGGTCCGGCCCGTTCCTGCTCCACGCACCAAGCCAGGGGTGCGAGTCGTCAGCCCGGTCCGGCCCGTTCCTGCTCCACGCACCAAGCCAGGGGTGTGCGTCGTCAGCCCGGTCCGGCCCGTTCCTGCTCCACGCACCAAGCCAGGGGTGTGCGTCGTCAGCCCGGTCCGGCCCGTTCCTGCTCCACGCACCAAGCCAGGGGTGCGAGTCATCAGTCCGGTCCGGCCCGTTCCTGCTCCACGCACCAAGCCAGGGGTGCGAGTCGTCAGCCCAGTCCGGCCCGTTCCTGCTCCACGCACCAAGCCAGGGGTGTGCGTCGTCAGCCCGGTCCGGCCCGTTCCTGCTCCACGCACCAAGCCAGGGGTGTGCGTCGTCAGTCCGGCACAATCCGTGCCTGGGTCACCGGTGCCTGGTCAGGTACCGGTCAGCTGCTCCACACCGGAGCTGAAGCAATCCGCTCCTACGATGTCCAGTCCAGCTCCAGCCAGCGGGGCCAGACCGGACCAGGGGCGCTACGGGGGGATTATTGGAAGGTGGTGGGCAAGCCCGGAGCCGGAACCGCCTCCGAGGAGGAATGCCCACCCAGCCCTCCCCTGTTTGGTTTATGTGGAGGCGCGGTCGCAGTCCGCGCCTTTGGGGGGGGGGTACTGTCACACCCTGGCTCTGGGGACTCTATATGTTGAGCCAGGGTGTGTAGTTTCTATGTGTTTTGTTCTATGTTCACAGTCTAGTTCTTGTATTTCTATGTTGGCCAGAGTGGTTCCCAATCAGAGGCAACGAGTGTCAGCTGTTGCTGGTTGTCTCTGATTGGGAACCATATTTAAACAGTCTGTTTTCCCATAGGGTTTGTGGGATCTTGTTCCGTTTGGTTTGTTCCGTGTTGGTTGTGTTTAACCGTAGGACTGCACGTATCGTTTGTTGTTTTGTTTGTATTATCACTTAAGATAATAAATATGTTCGTTCATCACGCTGCGCCTTGGTCTACTCCGTCTAACGATCGTGACAGTCAGCCCCTGTTGACCAGAG